AGATATTTCAGTCTGGGGTTGATGTGCTAGAGGTCCTTCTCCTGTTCATATAAAATTAGAAAATTCAGTCAATTATCCAAGGGTTTTCAAATATTTGGTTACTGGGTTAAGGTAGACTCATGGGTGTTAAGTATGTACCTTATATTCATAACAGCTTGATCTAAGTTCTGTGGCACAGGAGTAGTTTAAAGGAGGAAGGGGAGGGCTATAGTAGCTCTGAGATGTCTTTAGGGAGGAGGTAGAATTTGAGCCGTCCTTGAGAGATGGTTAATATTTGGAAAAGTAGAGGGGAGAGGACATGGTAGTTTAGATGAAGAAAACTATGTGAGGGGCAGGATTCATCATGGCTCATTTGTGTTTATACAGAGCAGGATGGCCTCATTTCAGCAAATTTTGTTTGTGGGGAATAGTGGGAAATGAGCAAAGATCCATGAGCTGGGGTTAAATAGTGCATGATTTTCGTAGGCCATAGTATAGTTTGGCCTTGATCTGGTAGGTAATTGAGAGTGAAGGAAGGCTTTGATTGGGTGAGTTGGAAAATGAAACCAATGTGTAAGAAAGATGGACTGGCCTTTGTGTTGTTGATAGATTAATAAGAGGAGAGACTGGGGAGGGGCTAGGAAGTTGGGAACTGGGAGATGTTTCATTCAGTAAAAGCACTATGATTGGGGAAAAGTGGGAAGAGAAGAAGGAATGAAGATTAAAAATTTCAAAAGAAAATTTGACAGAACTTGAATGCTAAGTACAGAGAAAGGGTGCATCAAAGAGGGCTACAGTTTTGAATTTTTGCTTTTTATCCCAATGTGTAGAAAGAGTGTTCCTTATTGGTGAAAATTTCATAAATCCATTGGCACATAATCTCCGTGAACGTAAAAGTAGGGAAGATCTAGTGCCTTGATCACTGGTATCTCCAGCACCTGGAACAGTGCCTGGCATAAAGAAGTGCTTGTTGAAGGCATGAAAGAATGCATTTAACATGTCAGCCTTTAGGTGAATTTCAGTTGCCATCTGTAAATTTAGAACATGCCAATTTTTACTACGAAAAAAATGACTTTTGAAATAATACTGTTAACCTTTTCTAGTAGCAAAAATTATACATGTTTATTGTAGAAAATTGGGAAAATGTGGAAAAGCACAAAGAAGTAAGTTACAGTTACATTTACTTCAGAGATAACCACTGTTGGTGTATATATCTTTCCACAGTTTTTTTTCTATGCAAATACATATTTATTTATAAAATGGGATCATATTGTACATGCTGATTTATACCTGCATGAATGTGATTTTTCAAAGTAAAATGGGACAATTTGAGCCTCCAAATAATAAGAGTAATGGATTTTTTTTTTAAATACTTTAGTTTTTTTTTTTAAAGATTGGCACCTGAGCTAACAACTGTTGCCAGTCTTTTTTTTTTTTTCTGCTTTATCTTCCCAACCCCCCCCCCCCCCCCCC